CATGCCTCCATTGCCTACTAACCAAAGGTAAGTTCTGCCGCAGCTTGTCGCAGGAACCTCAAGCTGAGGCCCTTGTCTTTGTTCTGGGTTAGTTGCTTTTGTTGGCCGTGGACCCCTGCCTTCAAGGCATTCGCCGTAACCCCAACGCCCCCCTAAAAATGCTAAGCTCTAAACCCTCCCCCTATAAACCCTAAAGCTACTAACCCTAAACCCTACATTCCAGAACCCTATCCCATTAAACCCCTAAACCCCAAACCTCCAGCCCCGGAATCCCTGAGCCTCTAAGCCCTAAACCCTAAGGAGCCTCAACCCCTATCCACCCTAAAGCCCCAAACCCCAAACCCCGGAATCCCTGAGCCTCCTGCCGCAGGCGGGCGAAGACGTGTTTCCTTTGTGGCGAGGTGGGCCACGAGGCTCCCTGACAGGTTTCTAGGATGTTTAGGGTTCCTTTAAAGGGATCTATAAGGGCTTCTAAAAAAAGGATCTAGCAAGGTTATATGATAAGGATCTATAGGGTTTAGGGATTTACGGCTTTAGGGCTCTTTGCATGGAGATGGTGCTGCTGCGTGATGTTTGACTCGGGATGGTGCTGCTGGCTCCGCATCATGTTTGCATCGTTTGCATGCTGCTGCAGCTGCTGCTGCATGCGGATGGTGGTGCTGGATGATGAGGATGTTGTACATGGCGAGTGCCCTTCACCCGCTTGCATGGGTACCATTGCTACAAGAAAACCCTGTCTTAAACCCACAATCCTAAGGCAGAGTATGATCCACATAGGAACATCACCATCACGTTCATCATCGTCATCATGTTCTTCTTCGGGAAATCGCGGATATACAAAGCTGCTTTCCTTCTGAGTTTTGTTCAAGAGTCAGTTGCAGCACAAAGTCCGCGCGCGGTAACACGGGATGGTGGAGATCGTCGCATCCTCATCGTTTGTCTGGATGTGTGCAGTCGACATGCACAGGATCCTGCACACAACCTTGCTGAGTGCAGCCAGCGTAGAGTGTGCTTTGGCATCAGAGAGTGGGGCGACGTGCTCTCCGTGATTTTGGCCAGTTATGGAGTTCTTCGCTTTGGGCTCACACGAACACTGTGCCACACTGGCATGCATGGCCGACATCCTGTGCACCCTGCGGCAACATAACTTTAGATCAGGAGGTTTGGTTGACATATTCACATTTGTTTTGATCCATAGAGAGGTTTTTCTCGTCGCGAGAAGGGTGAATGTCTTCCACTTGAACTCTGCAACATTCATGCTTCCTTGGCAGGGATACTATGGTGTCATACCATATGACCATGGCATGTGATTTCTATCCATCTCCACATTAGTACTCATGCACACCACTATTTGAATCCTTGTGAAGGCATAGGCAAACTCCTATGGGTTGACAACAACTCTTCCCTAATCCTGTCCAAAACCGCATCGGATCAACTTCGTCAGATGTGCCTATCTCAATTAGCTGCATCGGATCAACTTGCTCAGATGAGAAAAACTCATCCCAGCTGACTGGAATGTATCACTCTTCGAATCCAGGTACAAATTTGGGCAACTTTTCTATTGGTTGACAACGACTCTTCCATAATCCTGCCCAAAAGCGCATCGGATCAACTTCGTCGGATGTGCCTGTCGCAGTTAACTGCCGTCCCATGTTGAACCCTTTTTCGTGTGACAGGCGTGGTACTTTGTGTATGTTTCCTGCTGATACTTGCACTTTACTACTTACCGCATCCAAGCCTCGAAAGGCCGATAGAGCGACTAGCGTTGCCAAAACTGGAGTTTTAAGCACTTCCCAACTGTAAAAAGAAAACATGGGGTTAACTTTTGCAAACCGAATGCTTGCTTCATGTGGCAGGCGCGATAGATTCCAACTTCATGCGTCCTTATAAGGGCGCAATATTCCCCCCCATGGGGAAGTTTTAGGGTCTAGGGCCTAGGGTTTATGATTTGGAGTTGAGTTTCTGGGCTTCTCGGTTTAGAGTTTCAGCAATAAGCTGGGTGTCTGCCAAAAGCGGTGCTCAACGATTAGGTCCTGCAGATACTTAATTAGTTATTATGGCTTGGGCTAGGAGTCATCTTAGAGCTGCAAAGACCGACACCCTGCACGGAGTTGGTGTCAGTTGCTGTCCACTCTTCAACCACATTCTCCCCACGAGAAGAAAACGAGCGAGCAAGAGACAGAGAGAGAGAGAGAGAGAGAAGGAAGGAAGGAAGGAAGGAAGGAAGGAAGGAAGGAAGGAAGGAAGGAGAGACATACCGGCAAGCTGCAAGCCCAAATGGATAATGGATATGAGTCATACCACTCCATAGTTTCTGATGACCCTAAACCCCAAGCCCCAAGAACCCTAAACCTAAGCCAAAGAGAACAAATTAAACCCTAAACCCACAACCCTACCCCCCCCCCCCCCGCCCCTCCTTTCCTTACCAACCCCCCTCTGCTGGACAGGTGGCGTCTTGTCCATACTGGCGGCAGCCGGGTGCTCGGCTTTTGATTGACAGAAGGCGTACTAATGTAGGAACCTGATTAAGAAACCCGGGGCGTTGAACCCCCAAATAGGAGGGGCTCATATAAAGAATCTAATGAAGGCCCAAGGTTTCTTATTCAGGTTGCTACATTCATTTTCTGTTTTTCTCCGGGCTTGACAAACGTAGACTGGAGAACTTGGTAGTGGAGTAGCTACTATTTAACCTTGTTGGGGTACTTTGATCCCTATATCCCTATATAATCCCAGAGGTTAGCCCGAGTTCCCCTAGCATACTGGACAAGCGAGAGAAGTATCATAAACCCTAAATCCTAGAGCCTAAACCCTACAGAGAGCAAACTCAAGCAAGTTCAGCCTCCGCCTCCTGTTACGGAAGCCCTGCAGCCGAATATATATGTGTATATATATATATATGTACATGTATATGTATATATTAGATGGGGCCCCGGCCCACTAATAGTTCAAAAATAGGTTTATTATCAAACAGACAGGCCAAAAGTAGCACAAGGAAATCTGATCTCATTCGGTTTTCCAGGGCCAGGCAGTGTTTTGAATCCAAATATGTTTGGCATAGTTTGGCGATTAGGGCTGTGAGATGGGGTCGGACCGGCGAAGAGGTTGGGAGGAGCTATTTGCACCTTACCAGCGAAGAGGTTTGGAACCACGGTTTCGTTACCATCGCAACCTGGGCCCGGAGACCTTCTTTCAGACGGCCTGGACGCGGGGACTGGACTGGCCCGGCCGCCAGAGAGACAGAGCAAAACTAGCACCAGAAAAGCACAAAAAAAAAAGCACAATCGGACCGCGTCGAGCACAAGAAAAGCACAACAGACAGAGACAATTTTGCACCAGAACTGCCGCGCGCCAATGTGTTTTGAAATCATGGAGCACAAAAAAAAAGCACAAACATACAAACACGTTTGGTTTTTGGAGCACAAGAAAAGCACAAAAAAAAAGCACAATCGGATCGTTTCGAGCACAAGAAAAGCACAACAGCCGGAGCGTTTCGAGCACAAGAAAAGCACAAAAAAAAAACACAAACATACAAACACGTTTGGTTTTTGGAGCACAAGAAAAGCACAAAAAAAAAGCACAATCGGAGCGTTTCGAGCACAAGAAAAGCACAACAGCCGGAGCGTTTCGAGCACAAGAAAAGCACAAACAAAAAGCACAAACATACAAACACGTTTGGTTTTTGGAGCACAAGAAAAGCACAAAAAAAAGCACAATCGGAGCGTTTCGAGCACAAGAAATGCACAACAGCCGGAGCGTTTCGAGCACAAGAAAAGCACAAAAAAAAAGCACAAACATACAAACACGTTTGGTTTTCGGAGCACAAGAAAAGCACAAAAAAAAAGCACAATCGGAGCGTTTCGAGCACAAGAAAAGCACAAAAAAAAGCACAAACATGCAAACACGTTTGCGGAAACGAGCCCGGAGGCCTGCCTAGATTGCAGAAAGAGTACAGACAGAGCACAAGAAAAGCACAACAGCCGGAGCGTTTCGAGCACAAGAAAAGCACAAAAAAAAAGCACAAACATACAAACACGTTTGGTTTTTGGAGCACAAGAAAAGCACAAAAAAAAAGCACAATCGGATCGTTTCGAGCACAAGAAAAGCACAACAGAAAAGAGGTTTCTGTGATCGAAATGTCGCGCCCGGGTACGCCTCTCAGTACTAAACTTGGTCGAAGAGGCCAGACCCCGGCCCGGCCTCAGCCCGCCCCCCACCCCCCCGTCCGTTCAGCTTTCCAGCCCAGCCCCCTCAGCCCCCCCCAGCACCCCCAGCCCCCCCGCCCCGCCCCCCCTAGTCGCGCAGAGGCATTGCAGCTCCTGATGTTTGCTCAAGATCGAATCCGAGAAAAGAACAGGGGTGTGACTGTGTTTGCAACTCATGGGGTGGCAGTTTACTTGTTGTCTCAGTCTTGCGTTTTCCATTCATGCGAGCATGATCACAAACGAGTCAACATTTCAGCATTTCCCTGGTGCTTCATCTTGTGCTTCTGTTTCTGCCCACTATTAGTGAGGCGGGGCCGCACACAATGTATATATATATATATATATATTTTTGTGTGGGGGGGAATTCGTATCTAGTAAGTCTCCCTTGAAGTATAGTTTGTGAAGAGTATCCCGTATCCCTAATGGTCCCTATTTGTAGGTCTGGAAGGTTATATTCCGAAAGTTTATTCCAGCTAGTAGGCCTTTATGCTAAATCACTGCTCCCAAGACGCCTGGACTCGCATAACCCTTGCCTTATAGAACCCTTTGAAGAAGCCTTGTTCTCATATTCATAAGCCCCAAGAAATAGAGATTAAACCCCAGTCCCCGCGCCCCTTTGAGATCCTAAGTTTCATGACGAGTAGCCAGAGTTGGTGCCGTGTTCCGGGTACCTTCACTAAAGCGGTATAGGGCACATGGTGGTGCGGGTTCAGGGTTTAGGGTGTATACTCTTGTAAGGTTTGGTGTTTTGCGGGTCGTTCGCGGCGTGCGAGAAGGTGCGGCGGCTCTGCAGTGAACATTCTGTTTTTTTCCAGAAGTTTCATGCTAGGTGTGCCAATTCGGGGCGGCTGGGTCATATCAGAACCAATGTAAAGCACTTATGAAACCAACCCCTGCAATAGCCTGATGAACCGCATTTGAACTCTGAAACCCTTGTGAAACTCGCTGTGTCCTAAGGGTCCATGTGCCCGTATGGTAATATGCTTTGGCCTGACAGGAGGATCCTATCAAAGTAGCTTAAGGCCAAAGTATATAATCGTACATGGCCCTAGCACAGCCTGATTATGAACCCCTCTTATGCAAAGAATATGTTGCTACAAGAATTTAGGCACGTTGACACATAAAAGACTACCAGACTCTGATCAGAGCCCAATACCCTTGGTCAAAGAACATATTTCAGTCCTAGTATTGCGGCCTCTGCGATAACCCCTTAATGAAGGAATTTAAGTCCATATCTGTACATCTGTTTACATATCATATAGCATTGAGGCCCCTTATAATGTTTTGCCTGAGTTAGACCTGGACCCTAAGGGACCTACTTTTTTAGGGTTTCCTAGTATGATTTCTTTATATAAGTCCTTAAAAAGGTAGGTTACGTGGGCTTAAGGGAAGCACTGGCCTCTCTCTTTCTCTGGGACCCAGGGGCGTGCAGATCGTGGGTGCGACGGCCTCTGAAGAAAAAGACCTCGAAGAGTGGGATCCTCGGGCTCCAGGGATTTAGGGTTTAGGGTTTCGGGTTTAGGGTTTAGGGTTTTTCTGGGTTTGAGTTTAGGGGTTTTGGGGGTTTTGGGGTTTAGGAATTTGGGGTTTGATGTTTAGGGCTTTAGGGCTACAGGGTTCCGTTCAGTGCAGTAGCGCTATCCTGATGATCCAATACCTTAATAACTTACTAAGTACTGCTGCCAAGTATTTGATCAGGACTGTTGTAGGCATTGGCGTTCCAGAAGGGGAAGTTTTAGAACCAAAGAAAAAGAAAACAGATCGCTGTACCCGTGTGGCACACCCAGCAGGTGTGCACGACCGTTCTGCGTGAATTCACGGTCTCGCTCGTACCCGTCTGCACGCGGCACTCCGAACGAATTCATCGTAATCGTACTCCCGCCACAGTGCCGTGCCTGGGAATCGTGCTCCCATCCACATTCCCGTGCTCATTTTCGTCTTCCACATTGGCCCGAAGCCGCCATGCGAGAACTAGCGGTGTGTACAAAACCGTCGTCTTCACATGATTCATCAATACAGACGCAAGCCCTACGGCTACAGTTATGGTTGCGGGTGCAACCGTGTAGGCTCCACAGTGCAATCTGGATCAGAAGTACACGAGCGGTCTCTCTAAAGACGGATGAGAAGCACAGAGCCATAAAGAGCCCTTCAAGGATGCACTTGCTTGCCCCCGCATGCAATGTACAGTAACGGAGGGTGCGCGGGATTCGTTTGGGATCCTTCAATGGCTCTGGGTGCTGCGGCCCCTGATGCCTAAACCCTAAACCCGAGTATTCTCCAAAAGCTCATCATCAACTGAGGCCAGAACGAAGGGCTCACAGGTTTAGTGCTTGGGTCTCTTGGTGGGATGTTTCAGGTTTACAGTTTGGGGGCTTAAGGCCGTGGCCTCATACCCTACACATCATACGAATCATAAGGGCGGGGTCCCCGAGCATGCTGAGGTCGAAATGCAGACCCCAAATCCTTTGGGCTTTCGAGGTAAAGACGGAGTGTTTAGGTGGTTTGAGGGTTTTGATACTTAAGTTTTCAAACGTTTACGCAAGTGTCGTTCGCATGTTGCACACTCTGTGCTGTGGAAGTCTTTGTGCCAAGACAGTTCTCAACAAGAAGTGTAGAGATCACGTCTAAACTCTTAGCCCGGGAACCCTAACCTCCGAGCCCCAGAACTCCCCTAAACCATGATCGGCAAATTACAATCTACAGTAGCGAGTACTCTCCAGGTGCCTACGGAACCTCAAGGTGGAGCCAGTAAGCCTTCGTTGTTCCGAGGCCTCTTCGAGTTTAGGGCATTGGGTTTAGGACCAGGGTTAGCTGCGAAGTTGCTGTTGGCCTTACAGCTGCTGCCTCTGTTCCACGCGCTGTTGTTATGAAGTTGTCATTCTCGATACCCCCTGTAGTACCCTTCTCCTCATTAGCGTGACCCTTAGACTGAAGCGACTACTGAGAAACAAGTTTGGGACTGTAGAGTGCTTGCGATTGGACCATGCTTTGTTGGTACGTGTTGGCACGACATCCCTCGGCAAAGGCTGCATCAATCGTGAAGAGCACTGTTGTCACACGACGCAGACCACTGAATAGTTACCTGTGTCATTCCTAAAGGTTCCTTATTGTGTTGGAACAATGCTATACGAGAACATGCTGATTAGTATCCCACCATTTTGCAAGCCTTCAGCAAATGCTTGGAAATAGCAACGAAGGCATATTGTCCGAAACCCTACTGAGGCCTCACAGCTTGCAGCCCAAAGGTTAAAGGTTCAACCCTACTTGAAGGATCATGGGACTTAGTAACTAGGGTTATAATTTGGGTAGCTATACTTATAACTACTTATAACCCCACTTAAGGTACTTATAATCCTAGTTACTAAGTCCCATGATCCTCCAAGTAGACCCTAAACCCTAAACCTCTATAGATCCCTTTAAGGAACCCTATAATGAGATCCCTTTAAGGAGCCCTTTACTTACTAAGTCCCCCTGATCCTCCAAGTAGAAGGGTTAGAGGCAATGCTAGTTGTAAGGGTCCCAGGTACCGTTACTTGGAGGGTCGGGGGACTTAGTAAGTAGGAAGTAAGTAGACTTATAAGTACTCTAAAAGGGGGCCCTAATTGGGGTTATGGTACTTATAAGTCCCCAAAATAACCAGCTACTAAGTTAGACTTATAAGTACTCTAAAAGGGGGCCCTAATTGGGGTTATGGTACTTATAAGTCCCTAAAATAACCAGCTACTAAGTCCCCCCCCGACCCTCCAAGTACTGGGTGTTACTTTCCCAAACCATAGTCATGATTTATATTTATGATTATAGAAACCCTACATTCTCTTGGACCCCTTGGGTACACAAACTAAACCCTCCCAAAGGGTCCAAAGTATCTATGTAGTGGAATGTTGGGTTTCTATATTCGGAATCACTAGTATGATTTGGGGAAGTATTCCCCATACCTGAAACCCTAAACCCCTAAACCCCTAAACCCTAAACCCTAAACCCCTCAAAACCCCTAAACCCTAACCCCTAAACCCTAAACCCTAAACCCTGAACTGAATCCGAATTCCTTCAAGACCCCTTCGAAGCGGCCGTCGCCAAAGAGGCGAACCCAAGCTCTCCCAACTCCCTACCGGGAGGATATTAAGAACGCTGGCCCTATAACCCCAAAATCTTAGGACTCATACAAAGACTCACAGCAACTTAGGATTTACATATTATGTATAAAGAACTAAAAAAAACCCATGTTTCTTAGCCAGGTTCCTCAACCCAGACCCCCAGGAGGATCCAAAAAGTAGATCCCTTAATGGGGGTTCCTATAAGTAGCCTTAGTAGTATAGGGCCCCAAATTGGGGGATCTACTTTCTAAGCTGTAATGTAGGAACCTGCTCAAGAAACCCTGGGCCTAGAACCCCCAAACTAGTAGCATTCATGTAAGGAACCCTAAGAAAGGCCCAAGGTTTCATAATCAGGTTCCTATAGTAGGCTCTAGGGTTTAGGGGTTTGGGGTTTAGGGTTTAGGGGTTTATGGGGTTTAGGGTTTAGGGGTTTAGGATTAATAAAGGTTTAGGGGCCCGTTTTGTGGGTGGTATATCCTATCCATATAAACGAGGTATCCCGAAAAAGGCGTAGGGCATGCGCCTCCAGGTATGTCCTAAACCCCCAGACCTTCAGGCCCAGAGACTAGGGTTTTGGGTATCATAACACCTCATAAACCCCTAAGCCCTAAACCCTAAACCCCTGAACCCCTAAACCCCTTAACCCTAAGCCCTAAACCCCTAAACCCGCAACCCTAAACCCCTAAACCCCATGCTCCCCGTAGTTGTGAGCCGACTGCGATCGGGCGGATCAAACGAGAGCCGACAGAGCCCTAGGGCTCCAGCTGCCGAAATAGAAGGGTCAGTGACCTCAGCCATCGAAATTTCAGTCCCTCGTCTTGCCCTTTTGGGGCCAGACCAGCTATGCAAGGTTTCTACCGGGTGGCGGCCGCCATATGGTATCTGGCAATCTTTTTCTTCGATCTGCACTGGACACAATTTTACGACGACTACTTTCTCGTCGCCGGTGAGGCTGAAGGACCCCATGTTGACCTCGTCCAGACCTCCTTCTTCGCCGCGTTCAGCTCACTTGCTGTGCGTCCGACTTTCATCTGTTGCTGAGGCTACTTGGAGGGTCGGGGGACTTAGTAACTGGTTATTTTGGGGACTTATAAGTACCATAACCCCAATTAGGGCCCCCTTTTAGAGCACTTATAAGTCTACTTACTTCCTACTTACTAAGTCCCCCGACCCTCCAAGTACATCAAGACCATGCCGGAGCTGGAGCCGTGCCTTCTGGGATGGGAGACGGCTTCAGAGAGAGATTCGGGGTTTGGGTTTGTCACCCGCGCCCTGGGGGTTCAGATTGACTTGTCGGACTGCCATCTGGGTCTGTGAAGGTATGCAACACGCTGTCTCGGTGCAGAGAATTGGAACAAAGCTCCTCAGTTTCGGGCCCGTCGTACTGGGGTGCATGATATATGGTTAAAAACCTACTGCTGAAGTAACTGGAGCCCTAGGGCAATTGTAATAAATAACAAGCAAACACTGAAAGCCCTAAACCCAAACTAAACCCTAAACCCTAACGAAACCCTACACCCGAAAGCGAAGGTCGGAAAGCCACAATTCGCAGTCCGCCTGGGAAGTGCAAGGCTCCCACCCCGTGGTTTTCATTCGCACTTTGAAATTTTTGTGTGTTAGGGTTTAGTGTTTAGGGTTCTCGCATATTTGGGTCTGCTGTTTTCTTCCGGTTGGCTCTTAGGACATTAACTTATTGGGTGTCTATATGAACTATTACAAGAAGGCGAAAAGTTTCACTTTTTGTAATCAGAGGTTCAGAGGTCAGCCAAGTTAGCATATTTAGGGCTTACCTGGACCCCAACAGTATGTAGAATAATAGCCTTTTCTAGGTTTTGGGCCATTATTTTACCTACTGTTGAGGGTCTAGGTAGGGTCTTACGGTTTTCAAGTCGAGGGGTTCAGGGCCTCGAAGTCCAGGGTTTAGGAACTGTTAGGGGTTGACGGTCGTTACGTCCGGGGTTTAGGGTCGTTTACTCTGGATTTTTGGGTTTTTTCAGTCCGGGCTTTGGGGTCGTTATATCATGGGTTTAGGGTTTAGGGTACAAGTTTGAGCTTTGACGGTCTAGGGCCTAGGGTTGAGGAGTGATAGGATGCGCGTACGACGAGGTCTCAGGTTTCGGGGCTGGTAGGGCTTATCCTGAACCCTAGACCGTATACTAGGACCTAGAGTAGGCCCTTATTCCCTTTTTTAGGGTTCAGGTTCCCTTATAAGCCCCTTTAAACCAAAAAGGGCACCCTTTTTATTCCTAGGTTACTCTTGGGTCTAGTATAAGGGTATCTAATTAGAGTTCAGGGTTCAGGATTTGGGGTTGGGGACGTGTCTTCCAGGGGTTCACTGGCTAGTTCCATTTTTTGTCAGGCGAGTGTGCTAAGGGTCTGGGTCCAGGGACCGCTTGCCTTCAAGGGTTTAGGACTTAGGGTGTTTATGGGGTTTGATGGGGGGACTCTATGGGTTAATGTAGGAGCCAGATTAAGAAACCTTGGGCCTTTTTTAGGGTTCCTTTCCTAATATGAATCGTACTATTCTGGGGTTAAAGGCCCAGGGTTTCTTAGTCAGGTTCCTACATTAGGGTGTTGTGTTCTTGTTATAGTTCTCCAAACACCCAACCTTAAACTTCTTGCATTCGTTCGGCTAGGCTCAGTAGCTCTTATAGATTGTTTTGCGCTTTGCCGGACTTCGGGGAAGTATAGATTGGGGTGTGTGTGTGTGTAGGGTATTATGAAAGATTATAGTCTATAGTGTGTGCTGTCAGGAATGAAGGTTTAGCGCTGAGGATAAGGGTGCAACCACGGTTTTTTGAAAGTTCAGGGACTTGCAAAGCGAATTTTGGGCAAGCTGTGATTCTTAATTTTAATGGATTCTACTGAGTTTTTCTGTGGCTTACGGTGTAGGCTTGTGTACGGCTTGGGGCTGCGGGGTCTTCTTTCGGGCTGAGAGATAAACATGCTTTACATGGGTCTGTTACGGGAAACGCGGGAGAGCTCCGAAACAGACGCCGGTACACAAAGAAGGTTTCGATTTTCTTTCCCTAACGGACGTCTAGTGAAGAAACCACCGCCTTTGTCCCAATTCATCCTTATTGTGTATGTCACAGACTGTCATGCAAACCAGTATGTCCAGGCTGTCCAGGGCATCTAGCTGAATCTAGCTATGAAGACAATATCTTCTGTATGGAAAAGTAGGCACTGGAAACTGCTGCTGAGTTCTGAAACCTTAATCAGTCTGGGATGGCACCTCAATGAGCTAAAAAATCAAGCCCCTTTTGGATTATGCGGGAAACTAAGCAAAAGAAGTTCCATCCTCAACCCTAGCCTCTAACCCTACAGACCCCTAAACTTTGAAACCTGCGCCCGAACCCTGACCTGACATGCTGAACCATAGACCCCAACACCTGAAACTTAAAACGTAAAGTCCCCTAGACACTGGGGCCTTGTCTGCATCTCAATCCCTAGACTCTCCATGCATAGAAATACTGCCCAAACGTACGCCCTAACGCCGACACTCTAGACGCCTGGACCCCTAACCCCGGTAAGCCCTCAAGCTTTATGCCCTAAAGCTCTACACTCCTAAGCTCCAAACCATGCAGCTCTACTTTGATTACGTTTCCAAAGGCCGACGGGCTCTTTGAGAGAGCCCCCCTCAGTTTTATTGGATCCTTACCGGGATCCTGAACAAGGGATCTTTAAGGGGCCTATAGGGAGGATCACGGGGCTTTGTAAGCAATGTTACGAGAGTGATTTCCAGTACAGTTACCTTATTTAAAGCCGTAGCGACGAAGTCGCATCTCCGTTAAGGAACTCGTAAGTTGTAAGTCTTTAAGTATATGCAGTAATATTAGAAGGGTTTGGGGTTCATTTGAAGGGTTGGTGCTTGAAGGGTTGGTGCTTAGGGGCTTGAGGGGTTAAGATTGTGGGGTCCAAGGGGCAGGGTTTGGTTTTGCGCCACGCCATGAACACCTCAGCACTGTTGCCTAACCCCACTTGCTACACGCAGCCTCTGTTGCTTGAGCTCCGCAGCCGAAACCCAGATCCCGACCCTCACCTACTTTTGCGTACGTATCATCTAAAGAACCAGGAAGCAGGGTTTACATACGGTGTCTAGGGACAGAGAAGTGGTGAGCACTGGTGGTGCCACGCCAGAAGGCGTACATGCACAAAATCTCAAAAGAGAAAATGGGCATATGTTAGTGCGGCTCTGCTTCAATCTTCACAAAGTAATGCCGCGTGACTGCTGACCTTCAGTCATGATGGTGCCCCACGAAGCTTGCCACGGGCATTACTGTTTTCAACATGTGCTCGTGGACCCTGAACTCCCGAGGCGCGAGGCGGCAGTGGCAGCTAAACAGCTAAACTTTATTGATTTTCTTATGCTGAGATGTTTCCAGCATGTCCTGCAAACTTGTTATGCGGCGCATGCCTCGCACAGACGCAAACTGCCTCCTCGTCGTGTGCTCCTGCTGCTACGACCCCTGCCACGACTGCTTCATTGATTACGGCGAAGACGACAACTAATAGTACCACCACTGCCGCACCACTACCGGCACTACACCCACCTACTGCATCTACCACTTGTTGCCACGACCAGTGCCCGTACCACTACCACGGCCACTGCCATTGCCGTTAACGCTACATGTCACTTCTGCTGATGGTGTGAGTACAGATACTGCTAGTACGAGCAATATTACGAGCACCACCAACACAGACTGCTAGGACCAGTACTACTGTTGATGGAGGAAATCTTGCACCAGTTTAAGTGGCCAAGCCAAGCAGACACCCCACGCCCCCTTTTTAACATTGACCGGTGATCCTCGGAAGTGCCGTGGGTTCCAATGACAAAAATCTTGCACCACCTCCGTATCCATCATCTTCAATGTTAAAAAGGGGGCGCGGGATTATGCTCAAGTGTCGTGTCACCTGTTATTAGGCAGATGGTGCAAGATTTCCTCCATCAACCGACAGGATCCTTCTTGCTGAGTTGACCAAAGTAGCCTGTGTCTTCACTCGACTGCACCACGCTTCCTGTGACGGGTACCATCCACATGCAGACTAAGCCCGATACATGTCCAAGAATGCGATACGGCAAGCTTGTTGGCACGGCTGGTTGCTATAGGTACGGCCCAAGACCACACAAGCCGACTTTTCGGCAGAGTAATAAGTGTTAACTGCACAGTGTGCCTTTTCTACACTTAACACTCAGTTAACACTCAGTTAACACTACAGTTAACACTACAGTTAACACTGCCGAAATGCCGCAAAAACCAGCATTTTGCAGAATACACGCACTTTAAAAAGAAAAACTGCTAGTTTTAGTATCTTTTATACACATTTGAAGAAAATGCTGGTTTTCCCAGCATTTCGGCAGTGTTAACTGTAGTGTTAACTGTAGTGTTAACTGAGTGTTAACTGAGCGTTAAGTGTAGAAAAGGCACACTGTGCAGTTAACACTTATTACTCTGCCGAAATGCAAGGAAATCCTGCCTTTCCTCAAATCTGTCTTACAAGTACCTCGGTCCTTGACACACAGTGACACACCGACACACATGGTAAGATGGTGAGGAATCGATATTGTGGCTTGCCATCACTTGCATATTGCTTACTGTGACAACAGTTTAAGGTACTGACAGGATCCTTCTTGCTGAGTTGACCAAAGTAGCCTGTGTCTTCACTCGACTGCACCACGCTTCCTGTGACGGGTACCATCCACATGCAGACTAAGCCCGATACATGTCCAAGAATGCGATACGGCAAGCTTGTTGGCACGGCTGGTTGCTATAGGTACGGCCCAAGACCACACAAGCCGACTGTGGTTGCAGGCTTCCAGGATGCGACTTTTTTTGCACCCTGACCCGGGTGCTCCACTTCGACCCAAGTCTGCTCCATGCAGCTCCGCGGCACTCCAGTGGGACTTCCACTGGCGAGCTCCTCGTGTATTCTGGCTTAGTGTAAATTCCTTACATTTCCCACAGTTAACGCTCAGTTAACACTCAGTTAACACTACAGTTAACACTACAGTTAACACTGCCGAAATGCTGGGAAAACCAGCATTTTCGTCAAATGTGTATAAAAGACACTAAAACTAGCAGTTTTTCTTTTCAAAACGCGTGTATTCTGCAAAATGCTGGTTTTTGCGGCATTTCGGCAGTGTTAACTGTAGTGTTAACTGTAGTGTTAACTGAGTGTTAACTGAGTGTTAACTGTAGAAAAGGCACACTGTGCAGTTAACACTTATTACTCTGCCGAAATGCAAGGAAATCCTGCCTTTCCTCAAATCTGTCTTACAAGTACCTCGGTCCTTGACACACAGTGACACACCGACACACATGGTGAGATGGTGAGGGATCGATATTGTGGCTTGCCATCACTTGCATATTGCTTACTGTGACAACAGTTTAAGGTACTGTTGATGGAGGAAATCTTGCACCAGTTTAAGTGGCCAAGCCAAGCAGACACCCCACGCCCCCTTTTTAACATTGACCGGTGATCCTCGGAAGTGCCGTGGGTTCCAATGACAAAAATCTTGCACCACCTCCGTATCCATCATCTTCAATGTTAAAAAGGGGGTGCGGGGTTA